ACTTGTAGTATGATACGTGGGCGGATCAAAGGCGCCACCAGTGCTATAACTTCCAATAAGCGGCGTATTAACTGCATGGTAGGAAAATGTAGCACTGTGTGGAATATATAGTACTGCACAGTATAATATGTATGTGCTTTCCTGTTAACCACAAACTTTGATAGAGGCAAATCACAGCCTCAGTTACATACACTAGACATGTAACAATAATAATAGTGATAAATGAGATGGTCTTGCGCTGGCCACCTGCATGACTTTTGAAATTTCATTTGATCCGCCCACGCACCACTACAAACAAATCAAAGCACTGTTGATTTGTAGATTATGGAAATTATTGCACTCAGGACAGTCTCGATGAAAATGTAGAACTCGGCTTTGCCTCGTGCTACATTTTCTTCTCAACCGCCCCTTGTACAATAATTTCCGTAACCTACTCTCAACAGTACTTTAATTAATACATAATGTAATACATACTAAGAGTAATTGAAGTTTCTTTCAGTTGTTGTATATTCATTAATGATATCTTTTCCTGTAACTGTTCTATCTCCTTTTCTCTTTCAATTGATGTTTTCTCTACTCCAATTAACGTTTCTTCTATTCCTAGTCATTAATACAAATCATTAATTGGTTGCTATTTTTAAAATAATAATTATCAATAATTTGTGTATCATTTAATTGCATGTAAGAAGGACCAGTATTAGTATTGAGTATATACAATCATCCTCCTACTATAACAAATTAATGTACAACCAATAATGATACTCTAAACACAGCTGTACTCTATTCTCATTATATAGTATTAAGTATGTCTGTATATATACCTGTTTTGCTTTGAAGAGATGATCGTAAATGATCTATTTCCGTTTGCACTGCTTTTGTCATCTTCTTTTTACTCTCTTCCTTCTCAGACTCTAAATAATAAAAATGAACCAATTAAATTATTAGCAACAGCAATTTTTCAAATCATTGACAGATGGTATAGCAGAAGGTATTGCTGCTTTAATGAGAGGAACAATATTGTGAATATCAGGATAAAATATGACAGTCTCTACTACATTATATAGTGTAATGACATTAAATTGGGTATAATTAATGTTACAGGCTAACCTTGTGGAGTAGCATCAGTATTGGTAGCTACTTGAGTCTCACTACTACTATCTTGTAATTGTCCAGATCCTGTATTTATTATAATAGTCAATGTATATATGTTATATTATATCATTACTTGAAGATGTTGAAGTATTTACTTGTTGACAAGATGGTGGCATCACTGTTACTGCTGAAGGAAATGACTTTCCTATTGTATTAGAATATAAATAAGTTAAGTGTATTTATAAAACTCTTCATTTACCATATTCCATTATTATATCACTAGCTAAAGACACTGCTTCCTGTGATTTCATTAAAATGCTTGTCAGAGTACATAACTTGCTATGATCTTCAGCTACACCACTTAATATTAGTAACATTGGATCTCCTACCAATGAACAACCGCAACTCTTCACTTCTGTTAATGTATCCTTAGATATCAATCCCTCTGTATGTAAGAGATCAACTGATTCCTCAGTAAGAACAACTTGAGCTAGTCTATCAATATAACACTGCAATATCTCACTAACAGGATCTGCCACTAATAAAATAATGAAATAAATGCTGCAAAATGATAAT